CAAGGCTTAAGCTCGCATTAAGATATATTAGCCCATTCCGCATTCGAGAAGTTAAGGGCTCCTCCGTATAGGCCTATTAGTTGTAGCTCCTACCTCATTACACAATCTATAACACCTTCTATATATCCCTCCTTAAGCCGTACTACCTACGCGAAGGGGATGAAGCCCCTACAGAACACGAAGACATACTAGCGGATAGTGAGGAGCTGTAGTCTATAGAACGTATCCTATAGCATCGCACTAGGCGAGGCAAGAAGGAGTACCTCCTAAGATGGCAAGGCTATTCACCTAAATAGGACTCGTAGGAGGCCGAAGACTCGTTTAAGGATATAACTAAGTTGTTAGATGAGTATTAGACTAGTGTAAAGAACAAGAAGAAGGCTAAGGGCCTATAATGTCGCCTAGGAACAATGCTACCCCCGGGGTGCTATTAGCTGACTAATTAGAGGCCGGCAAACTAGGACAATAAGACTATACTAGGCGCACTACGACGCGTCTATTAACTAATCGCCTGCTCTTTCGAGGACTCTACCTCCTTACTAGCGCACCCTATAAGACCCTTCTCTTAGAGCCCCCTCTTGTTCCCTTATTCCGTCGAGGCCTCGAGGCCTAGGCAATCGGCGCGGCCGGCGCGGCTATATTAGTGACGGTGTTGCGGAGTGTGTTATTAGTTAAGGAAGAAGATTAGAAGCGAGGTGAAGTTGGCGCTAAAACGACTAGCGCCGCTATTGTTAATATTACTTGCTGTTATCGCTACGCCTATAGACACAACCTTACCTATACTACGAGCCTAAGGCACCCTTAATCAAAACTTTGATTAAAGCCTTAAGCCTATTAAAGGTTTGATTAAAACTTTGAGGCTAAGTTAAAACTTTGACTAAGTTAAAAGATTGAGCGACTAATGGACTAACTAAGGGCAAAACTATAGAGCTAAGCTAGCCGGGGTCGATCTTGCGGACAATAGGTTACTCCTCGATCTTTCCGACCCTTTAAGCGAGGCGAACCTCTACTACTGCACTTATAATAGCCTTCACCTATAGAAACTAGACGAGCTGTGTTTTTTGAAAAGATATAATTAGTTAACACTTAAAGGCTGCCAAACCTAACTAATTTAGGCTAGTAAAACTACGATAGTAAATAATAGCCCTCGTAACAATAAGAACAACCCTCGGAAGCGGACAAACCCTCGGAGCGGACATTTCTAGGTCTGTTAGAGTAGACGCAAAGAACTCGTACGATATTACTTAGAACGGAGGCAGTGCTATAATACCTCGTACGTCTACCTATTATAGTAGGGAAGACGCGCTCGTATTGTAATTAGTCGAAGGCCCTCAATTCTTATAGATATATATTACTTTATAGTTCATTATATATAGAGATAGCGCAGTTAGAGTTGTACATTGTGTTGTTTAGAGGTAAGGTTTAACATAGTTATATAATTAGGTAGTTAAGTGTTTAATTTAGCGCGGGCTAAGCAGCTTATTAGACTTGCTAAGTTAGCGGCAATGGAGGTCGAGATTGGAATATAGGCAGGCTACGAGGGCGCGGCCTTTAGAAGGGAAGCGTGTGTTAGGACCAAAGAGGCTACACGTAATTGGCATGTGACCAGGCCGAGTGAAGCTAGGGTTTCGATGCCTCAGGCAGGGCTTAGCGCTTGGCGTTGGGCCAACTCTCCTGCCTTCCTCCCTCTCCTTCTAGATCCTTATCGAATACTACACTGATTCACCACCACCCTATCTACCTGCTGACATAACCCTTCTCACAGTTATCGTTCCAAGATCGAAGAAGATTATGTCCGCAGGTTGAAGACCGAGACAGTCGAAGATATAAGCGAAAAGGCTGGAGAGTTGTGGGCATTACTTCCAGAGCGATCGAAATGGCTGTATCATCCTGCTCTGAACGGTCTCCGCGGAGAAGGATCCTTGGCGAGGACGGTGAGCGAGGTTCAGATAGACTCTTCCGAATGATGTGCATTGGAATGCTTTTTCAACTTTCTTCCAACCTCACCTTCGAAAGTGTATCGACTATTGCTTGAAATGTCGTCAGGGCAAACAAAGCTTCATCAAAACGGAGATACGCATTGGTTGCAGGCTGGTGCTGTGGCATCTCGCTCTCCGGTAAGGGCTCGCACCGCCGTCCGCATCGGATCTCGACCAGCTCCAGCCCCAGCCTCCAGGTTCTCCTCGTCCGCAAAAGTCCCTCGTCGGGTTCATCAGTCACTACTGTTGTCCTGTACGCGCATACCCTTCCAAATCGAGGACCTTTAGTGTGTCTGCCACGTAGTGCTTCTGCCGCGGGTGCCCTTGAAACTTGCTCCTGACAGCGGCTGCCGGCTTCTGACATTTGTGCTGTGATGAATACTGCAATGCTGCCATCCGCCTGGTGCAAGGTGCGAGGTGCGAGAAGCAAACGGTCTCCCGAGCCACGCGCAAGACAAAGCGGTGATGTTGTAGTACACGTGGCCCTTCCGATGGGAGCACGGCATATCATCATGAAATCTGCAACGTGCAAGTTCGTTTCCTGAGGCACAGAAGTGGTCGTACCTTGCTGATAAGAAGCTGCATGCTGCATCATCGCCCAACTCTCGTAGTCCACGAGCGAAACCACAGTCGAGAATACGGAGGTGCGGCTCTTGAACATGGCAGCCCTGGTGTACACTTTCGTCCGACACGTGTGTGACGCAAGCGCAATGAGCCTGCATGGTCAAGCATCCCTGACTTCCTCGAACCTAGTCGGCACAAACGAGCCGAATTCGAGTTTCAGAGTGCCCGAAAAGGAACCAAACCCTCAATGCCACGATTCTTGGACGAAGATCCAATTTCGAGTGGCCTGGGTGCATCCCTCATCAGAATGGGGAGAAAGAGAGGGGTGCAGGGCGGGAATCATGTGTACAACACTAGACTCTTAAAACAGCTGCTCTAGATAAGATATACACAGACTGAACATAAAGAACATGGATCATACTCGAGACATCCGCTATGCAATTGTCATTCCCGCGCTGAGGGTATTACCTGGGCTATTTCCTGTCCAAAACCATCCTCATGATTTGATATAGCCCAATACTGCTTTCTCTATGTCCCTTCATCCACATCGGATCTGGTTGCCATTACACTTAATCTCAATATGTAGGTGCGGCTGGTGCGCTCGTAGGTGCTGACTGGCACGCGCAAACTGTCTCGTACTCCGTAACGTAAACTGTCACAGTCTCTTCCCCTTCCTCTTCTGGAGACGCTGGGTAAGATGGTGCAGACGTGACAGCTGGGCTTCCGTAGGCTTGCGTCGCTGTTGGGTTAGACTCAGCAGGTGACTCGGCTGGCGATGATCCGGATGGTGAGCCATAGCCAGTTGCGCCTGGGAGGATGCCGCCAATCGCGCTGGTCAGAGCGCCAATACCATTTCCAACTTCGTTACCAATCGCCTCAGCAAGTTGCTGAACACCACCAGCCTTGCCCTTGGTGACATCGATGTTTGGCAAGAAGTCAGACCAAGATGGAAGGAGACCATTGCCAGCTCGAGTGGATGAACCAGACCAGAAGCTGGACTTGAAGCCCGAAAGCGCATTGGGATGAACCTCCTCGCCAGCGTAGATGATCTTCCAGTTGAGGTTCTTGGCCATGTATGGGGTGACGTTCGCCTCGCTCATATCCTCAAGCTTGCCAGCCTTGCACTGTTTCTGCAGGTGACGGGTGATTGGCACGGATCCAGAAGAAAGAATATCGTGACCAGACATGGCGCCACCAGCAAGAACACCCATGATACCAATGCAGTTGTCGTCACCGAGCCATGCGGAGGAGTCGTTGGAGGATGGTTGGCCATCGAACACGTAGACAGTGTATGAGCCGTTGAAGGCGTAGCGTGGAGTCTGCACATGGCACTGGTATTCGTAAGTGCTGCCATTTGGTGCGATGAAACGTGGGTCAACGACGGTGGAGCCGGGACCGGTTGGGGCAGGGGACTTGTGGGTAGCAGTGCCGTTCCATGCGTTGGACATGCTCGGGTAGGTCTTGGATGGAGCAGATGTTGCAGCAGATCCGGATGGCCCATTTCCAAATGGAATGCTGAGAGACATGCTGATTGGACCGATTCCCACACCAATGCCAAAGCCGCTGTCGCTCGCAGATGAAGTGCTCGCTGAGGTGCTGTAGAAGGCTGTTGGAGCGTGCGCGCGGGCAGCAATCGAAGTGGATCTCTCGGTGGAGGAGGAAGAAGAAGCCTTGTTGCCGCTCTTCTCGACGTCGTTGGAGACGGCGCTCGCGGTAAGATGGGCGTCCGATCCGTACAAGCTGTTGATGTAGTTGATGATGGCATCCTGGCTACCATCACTGGCGGCGAACTCGGGGTAGGTGTATTTGAAGGTGTTGGACCAGTCCTTGACGTCGTTGGTGGTCCAGAAGTTGTTTGCATCCTTGCGGAATGGCATGAGGGGCGAGTTCGCGTCCTGGGTGGAGCCAGATGCGATGGTCCAGGTAGCGTGAGGAGCAGTCTGGGAAGCACCGTAAATGTTTGGGTGGAGGGTCTGCCACAAGGCAAACAGGCGGTCAACGTTGGCGTGGTGAATCCAGAAGATTGGGTCGAAGGATGCCAAGGGAAGGTAGGTCATGTGGCCGCCGGAAACGCTGGAAGAACCAGCACCACCGCAGGTTGTGTGGATGGTGTTGTGGATGCCCTCCAAGCTGTTGGCGCACTTGCCAGTGGAAGAGCTGGAGTCATCGGTGGCGAAGTGGAGGTAGTTGTCGCAGTTGGTCAGCAGACCGTAGACCTGGTCCTGAATGTTCTCGCGGAGCTGGTTGAATGCTGTAGTTGCCTGTTGCTCCTGGCTGGTAGCACCCCTCGCATTGCTGGTGGGGTAGCGAAGAGTGGTGTCCCAGACGGTGAAAGGCGAGTAGTACATGCCACTGGAGCTAGTGAACTTGTAGTCGAACAGAGGGTTGCTGACGGTCTCCTGGCCATTTGGACCAGCAATGGTGAGCTGCTGGGCGCTGATGGCTGGTGGAAGCACATCGCCGCCGTTGTCTGGGTTGGCGGCCCAATCCCAGTATGGGATACGAAGAACCTGGGCAGCAGCTTGCATGCGAGAACCAAAGTCGCCGGAGAAAGAGGAAGCGACTTCAGCAGCGACCTTCAAGAGCTCCTGCTCATACAGTGCCATGTAAGCACGGTGCCAAGCAGGGAACAGGACGGAGTTGTGGGTGCAGTAACCGTCGGCACTACCGCAGCTGTCGCACTGCTCAACTCCATCCCAGCTCGTGCGAGGCACGCCATGAATGCTGGAAATGCCAAAGTAGCCGGTGGTGTCGCTCTGGGCAACCTGCTGCCACTTGGCCATGGTTCGAATGTAAAGGGACCATTCGTCGGATCTGTTGGCGAGATCACGGATCTCTAGGCGCGAGTGGATTTGGCCATCGCCCAGGCCGTTTGCGCCTGACGTGATGACCTGACCGGCGCGCTTCTGGAGGGCATGGTCAAAGGTGCCTGAAGCTGGCTTGTTGGATGGGTGTGCGGCAATGGTACGGAGCAGCGAGGCTGCCACAAGGAGCGACGAGAAAAACATGATGGATGCAAGAAGGAGGGAAGGAACAAAAAGACGGAAAGCGCATCAAAAGAAAGAGTGCCAGGTGCTCAGACGGCAGACATGGACCGAGCAGCGCAGCGCAGGGAAGGTGGAATATGGAAGGAAAGAAGAGCACGCGCAAGAGCAGGAGCAAGAGCGGAAGCAGAAGCTGCGAGAGGCAGCCGGTGCGATGGGCGCTGTGTCAGATGGAGACAGCGGCGAGCTGTGCGTGCAAAACTCCGGGCCAGGTACATCGTACATCGTCATCCGTCATGGGCAGCGGGCAGGGCAGGGCAGGGGAGGGCATTGCGATCATCACCGCGTAGTCCACACGAACACACAAGCGCCAGCGCCGTTGTGCTCTGGTCGCCGCGTTGCCAGGATCAGACGGCACGGCGCAGATTTGAATTTTGAAGTTTGAACTGGGGGTTAGCTATATATCAGCAACTGCAGGGGTGGCACGGGGCAGCCGGAGTTGCTAGCAACGCTGGCCCTACCAAGCCCCGCTAAACCTTATATAGATCGTAGTCTTAGCACACCTACATCCTCCGCTTATCCTAAATTTTCTATATAACCTCTTCTATTAACCCCTGTATTCTATAATAGACCTATCTACGCCTAACGACGTCGCTACCCTTTAGCGGCTTCGACAACGAGTATTTAACCTTATAGAAGACATTGAAATAGATACTAATAGGTAGAGTTTAATCTAGAAACTATATAGCAATTAATATATCTAGAAATCTACTAAGAAGCTGTCTATAATAATACCCTATATAGAGATAGGGCTATACTATAAGAAGTCCTACTTCTATTATATAGAAAAGCAGCGCCTTAATAAGCTAAATAAGGAAGTAGTAGGTATTAAGGACAGGCGTATATTTAAGCCGCTTAAGAAGGAGTATAGAATAGGCTTTATTACTAAGGTTAAATACCGTAATAATAAGGCTACTAGAAGAGTTAGTATTCGTCGCTATACTACTATAACTAAATATATATATACGCTCGACTATCTTAATAGCTAGAAGGTTTGCTAATATATTAAAGATAAGGTTAAAAAGCAAATCGATTACTCGCTATAAGCTAGAAGAACCTTCGACGCCTTATAGGGGCAATATAGTAACAATCTCGGTATCTCTTATCTCGATATTAGTGCTATAAATAATACTACTAAACAATCGCCTTATTATAACCGTAACAAGCGCTTTATAACTTAAGAAGAGAGAGGCAATACGGACCTTTAATTATAGGCTATTATACGGACTATAAAGGAGTATAACCTATACTTCTAATAGTTTAGTATTAATACTAAAGATAGCATTAGGAGAGGCTTTGTATAGGTAATAGAAGAAGGTATTTAGTTGTTAATAAAGTACGGCAAATTAATACTACTAGACGATATATACGAAGTTAATTAACTAGATTAGAAGCTATTTAACGTCCTTATAAGCGACGACAACCTTAAATAGCGGCCTATAGTATACGCACTACTAGAAAGCAAACATAGTGTTGTCTACGCGTAAGCACTTAGCTATATAGCTTCTTAGGGTCGTTATAGTAAGCCTAGCGGCTAGCAGTTATAATAGTCTATTCTTAATAACTCGGCATCTAAATAATAGGCTATTCGAGACATATTTCTATAGGTTTATACCTACCTATGCTAACGATACTCGTTACAGACTATCCGCCGCAAATTTCCGCTTAAGAGTGCTTATAAGAAGGTCTATAAGAAGCTCGTATAGGTTATACTATACGTAGAGTCTAAGGAAGAGGTAGAGGTTGGAATATAGGCTGCTTTTAATGCCCTTCCTAGCAGCAAGAACGACGAGAAGTATAGCTATATAGAACGAGAATAGTTAGTCGAGTACGCTTAGATATAGACTACCTACTAGCGGAGGAACAATCTACTGCTTATACGTATAAGTACTATATAATAGTACCTTCCGTCCTCTTAGAGCGGGTATTTGCTAACTGCTATTACTTAGGTATATACAACGTCGCTAGTTAAGGGTTACTACTCCGATTTTAAGAGCGATATTAGTACTATTAAGGGCAACTTCTTACTCTCCGGCACCCTTATATACTCGCTAAAGGTAGATAGGAAGTAGTATAACAATGCTAATAAGGCTTCTACGAAGGATAATATACTTTACCTATTTAGTCGACTATAAGGCGATTGCGAGCAGTTTAACGAGCTTCTATATTGCCTTTAAAGCCTTATTACTAAGCAGTATCGACTCGCTTAGAAGCGCGCTAATAGCGGCCTTCTAAATTAGTTACGATATTAACTACAGATCGATAACTATATCCCTAATATATACTAGTATTACTTCTAGAAGTAGTATTACTAACCGTATCGCTATATCTAGTACGATTAAGAGATTAAAGGCAGTAGAATAACTGCTTAATAGGTAGATTGCTATATAGACTGTTTCTTCGACTCTAAAGGCTTTAATAGCGATATTAACTTAACTAAAATATACTTAGAATAGCTTATTAACGAGAATCTACTAGAAGAAGATAAGGAAGGTAAGGTAGAGACTCTTCGTACTATTACGAAGGACCGTTACCTTCTATTACGTAGTATACTCGAGAACATTATATACAACTATTATTAGAAGGCAAAGTAGGCGGAGGCGGTTATTCTAGCTAACTTGTTATACGCCTATCGGACTAATATTGCTATATAGTATTTGTCTAAATATATACGACTATCGGCAGCGGTAGAGCTATTATAATAGCTCTAGTAGTATCGATAGCGATACGATAATAGCACGTTATTTGCTATCTAATAGGCGTAGGTCGATATAGGCGTAGGCGCCTTACTATTAGTCTACTAGTAATAACAACCTCGCTAAATATAATAACCGCGATAGGCGAGGGACCTATTCGCGCTAAAGAAGGGCACTTAGCGCGCGCTAGAGTATACGGCGACTACTTTCTATACTAATTAGTATAGAAACAGTTACTACTATCCTCCGCTGTCGTTCTAGGCCCCTCTACTATCGCAATTTAAGCCTACGTAGGTAACTAACTTAGTACTATAGAATATATACGCTATAGGCGACGGTACTTTCTAATATAGTATATCTTCTTTAAACGACGGCAGTTTAATAGACGCAATGCGCTAGGTCCTTTACTAATAGCGCCTTCTATATATGCCTACTATATCGAGTAGTCTTCGCTACTCTATAGTAGCCGCCGATATACCGACGCTATAGCTATTAAACCTATTAAGATATATACTATAAGTCTATAACAATAGTCGCTAATAGATATATTATAACTTAGTAATTAGTAGGTAGGGGTATTTATTAACGACCGACGATACTTATTAGAAAAACAGCGGCGGCTATTTAATAGTAGGACCTTTAGTAGTAATCTATACTATAGCGGCGGTAGTAGTAGCGGTAGCGGTAGTAGTAGCAATAGACAATAAGGCAAGAGCAAGTAGATATATCTCGAATTTAGCGTAACGGCTATACTATACGTTAACTTTAGCTTTATTAAGTTATCGCTAGCGACCTTAGTAGAAATTACTATATTCCTAAAGCCCTTTTAAATTTAAAGCACATTTTAACTAAATTTATTAGGGGAGTTGCTAGCAACTCGAGGTAAGGGGTGGGATTGGGGTAAAAGTGGGTCGAGCCAATCAGCGCGAGTTGCTGATATATAGGCCACTGAACTGGGCCTGCCACACGTGACACGCTCGGATCAGCACGCCGTGCAGTGTTCCTGCCGCTTGCTGCGTGTTCCTGCGTTAGCCTCGTATACACAGTTTGACCACACACCAATCATTGTTTCAGCATGCTGCGCTCGTCATCATGGGATCATCCGCTGTTCCAGGGGCCTCGCACCACACGGCACACTGCTTCACGCACCTGAGATGGGTGAAGCAGCCTTCAAGGGGTGGCACTCAGCCTCGCGGCCACTTGTTTCATACTTCGATCCCATTGAACGTCTCATACCGATCTCAGAACACGGCAATCATGCCTTTCTACGACATTATTCTTATTTTTGGTCAGCAATGCCAGCGAGGCCTTGGACTGAGTGCCGGAAGGGCGGCAAGATATACACACAAAATGCACAATTGAGCCCCATTATTTCCAATGTGAAGGATAAGATCGCTGGGCACTACCGCCAGTACAGTGGACACTCAGCCTTTGTGACCTTCAGCCACGCATCGTCCAATGCTTGAACGATGGCATCAGGCAACGGCCCTTCTTCAACGTGATCCAGATTAGTCTTCAGCTGCTCCAGACTGCTGACTCCAATCACAATTCCATCCCCAGCCTCCATATCCAGCATGCTATGATGTACACACCAGCGAAACGCGACTTGAGGTAGAGTCAAATCATGCTCCTTGGCCACACGCTCCACCATCTGAAGCGCCGTGAAATTCGAATCTTTGAGGTATCGCTCCCGATATTGTTTTCCCATTTTAGGATCAATCTCCGAAAAACGGCCATCGGAGGGTGTTTCTCTGCTTTTGTACTTGCCACTGAGGACACCGCCGGCTAGAGGATTGTATGCGAGGATGTCAATGCCAAATTTTCTGCAGCATGGCACCAGCTCCTCTTCGATGGCTCTTGTCAAGGAGTTGTACATGGCTTGATATACAGTCGGCTGGATCCATCCTCGCTGTTTTGCAATGCTGCAAATTTCTGCCACCTCCCACGCAGCGTAGTTGCTGATGCCCAGCCGCTTGAATTTGCCAGCATGGTGAAGTTCATTACATGCTTCTAGAGTCTCCTCGAAAGGGACAGAACGATCAGGAGCATGGAGGTAAAACAGATCGACTTGTTGACCTCCGAGTTCTGCGAGGCTGGTCTCTAAGTTCTTCTTGATATTTTCCTTCGTGTTGTCTCCGGGCTTCTGCGGGTACCACTTCGTTGCAAGTGATAGGCCTCGTTGTTGCCACTTAGCTTCTCTGGTAAAGCTCTCCTGCAGACCGCCAACGTATGTTCTTGCAGTGTCGACTTCATTGTATCCTCGCTGCTGAAAATGGTCCAGGCACTCTGTGAACTTGGTGATATCCGTCACTCTAGAGCCATGATACTCGGATCCAGGTGGGCCAAATGTAAGGAGCCCAAGTACCACTCTTGGCTTGCTCACCCGAGCCATGAGTATGGGCAAGTTGCTTATCTAGATTGAAGATTGACCGCTGCTTAGGCCTGTCAAAGTCGCAGAATGATGGCTGTATGAGAATATTCAAACACTGACACCTGTGTTGGCCATAATGACTCGAATATACTGGCAGAGTAGATAGTTGGATATGATGCAGGGCAGGGCACGGTAACAGGCAAAAGATGCATTCATGCACCTCCTACTTTTGTCCATGCTTCGCCGTGACGCCAACCCGCTGGGCCTGAAGTATTTCCAATTCCATGCTCTTGATCTCGCCCACCATCGTCGCCGTGTCGATGTCGATGTGCTCGTCAGTTCGTGGAGGTAATCTGCATTGGTTGCACGCGTCCACATCGACAGATTCGCGGCGAGCTGTGCGATTTCGTGACAAGCCTTCCTGGCGGTACACTCTAACGTCTTTCCAAACATGCCCACCAGCATGAGGCATCGGCGACACTACTTTGTTGTTATGATGAGACACGAGACGCCAATGTGGGATCGGAGGATGGACATGGCGGCAAGGAAGGAACAGGCCACCAAGTGGTCTTGCTCTCACTTCCAACGCTTATTTCTGACAGCAGACATTCCATCGTCAAGTTTCAACCGAAGTCAACCCTTCGAGGCGACGAGTCTGGCACTGATGACATCTCCTCGGCACTGCATTGCAGCTCAGGCTATGGCCAAGATTTCAAGGACTCAGGATGCAGTGTGCTCACATCCTTGCCCCAGTCAACCCACTGTTCTCTGAGAACACTCGAGCAATACCGATGACAGGCAGTACAGAATCAGCAGGGTCGCTACTGCGCGGCCGGCGCCACATATTTGGTTCTCCTTGATTTGAGATACTATGGAACGATGGCTCCGATTTTCTCCTCCTCCGCCGTATTCTACGCTGCGAGTTGCCTATCTACCACTTATTAACCTACATCATCTGGCACTCATTCGCACGTCTCCTTTACAATCGCCTTAGCGGCCGCAAGAATACTGCCTTATAAGAAAATATATTCGTTCTCTAATACGACGTATTACGATATTAAAAATGTCGCGGTCCGCTATACTAGTAATATCCTACTAACGCTACTCTCCGAGCTGTTACTCTATAGCCTAGACCCTAGACGCTATCTTGTATATTAGTATTACGTTCTTCTTTCGACTTCGCGTTATACTTATATAGATTAAAGGCGAAAGCGATAGATATTTAAAAGGCATCGAATTATAGGAGGCACTAATATTCGAAGCTCGTAGACTACTCTACCTATAGCTTCGTATATAAGCCCTCCCGCTTATAGAACTTATTAGTAACTAGCTTCTACTCTTATATACCGAGTGTCGACGACTATACTCGTAACCGGTCCGTAGCCTTACTTAAGATAGGTACGTAAAGTGCTATAACGTGTTAGGCCTAATAACTGTTGCTATCTTATGCTTTAGAGTATCTCGGCAGCCGAAGGCTAGTATAGGATTTATACTAGCAAGTATAGGGAGGAGCCCAAGACGAGAAAACAGAATCTTAGAAAGTAAAGTGCGAAAATTAAACGTACCCTCACCTCGACGACGTCAAGTAAGTCGAGAAATGCGAAACAGACACATAATAGAATTGAAGGGAAGAATTGCAGGAGATTTGCGCTGCGCAGAAATTCTTCGTGACCTGTCTTGGAATTGCAGTCCAAAGCTATAGTTAACCTTTGATCGCTGTCGGAAACTTTGTACTCATCACCACATCGTCGCGGCGCGCAGTCGCGGCGCGCACCAAAATCAGAATGGCGTCTAGCGACCACACTACTGGCCCCCGCGAGCAGATCATGGGTATGTCAATGAAGCGGTCCAGTCGATGATCTATACTGACGAGTCTCAGCAAATGCCACTATCGCTTTTCCTGGCAAGATCTCCAAGAACGTCGACCAATACATGAACGCGCCACACGAGATTGTCGACGTGGTAGTCGTTGGATACGAGGGACTTGGTGTCTTCTCTTCGGGTAAGCAAGCTTCTCTGGTGAGCGGACGAAGCGTCTCTCTAACGTATACTGCTCCGGGTGAGCTCTGTAACAGGGTTCGAGAGTGCTCTTGAGTCCTTGTCGGCGTTGCTGAGAAGGATCTTGGCCGAGGACAAAACCGGCGTGCTGGACCGAGAAGAACCTGCAGGACGGAACGCCCAAGTGGGACCAATGCAGTGCATTCCGTGAGGGCGAAGCGGCTAGCGGCGAACATTATGGAGTATGGAGTTGGATATCATGCTTGGTGGATATTGATGAGCGGATTTGGCACTGCTTTAGATGCCTGCTTATTTTGCATGGGAACCGGCGCTTACACCAAAAACGTATGACACCGGATCGCGAGACAGAGCTTGGGTCGAAAGCTGTCTGAAATCGTAGTGTCAACTCACAGTTCACTTTCGAGGCTGATCACATTGTGTCTGATTCCGTGCAGCTCCCGAATCTCTTACTCAGGATGCCCCAACAGTCGCCAAGTTGCTCATATTGACCACCCTCCCACCTCCTCCAGGCCCAGCCTGCGGCCTCTTTCTCCATCCCGGTACCTCGCCACTAGCCCTGTTCGCCTTGCTAGTAATCACGCTCCAAGGCGGCGGAAAAGCAGCAGCAAGTACGACCTGATCCTCGGTACTCTGCTTCGTCCCAGACAAGACAAATTTCAGACTCGAATGCACAATGAATCCTTTGACTAAGCCTTGGTCAATCAACGACGAGAGGATCGATTCAATGTTGATTATTTCATATCCTGAGCCATCAGTCCGCTCGTAGTCCCCACCAGCGAAGTCCGCATCGATGTATGTAGGCGCTGAAGAGCCCTCCGCCAGCTTAAATGCGTTGACAAGGACATCCATGTCGACTAAAGGTGCGGTCTTCGTTCCAGGAGCGTAGCGCGCACCAATGGTTTTCCAGACACGACGCACTAGCGTCCGCCAGACATGTACTTCGCATCTGTTTCTCAATGGCAAAAGTACCCGGAAGTGCAGGAACCAGTCTGCATGGGGCCCGTTGAAGTCAAGAGCCTGGCGAAACAGTGCCAAGTTGCCAGTCCTCATTGCCTGCATGATGGGCGCGAAGTGCTCTTGGAACCCAATAGCTTCAGGTCGCTGGAGAAGTGCAGCTGAAGGAAAGCGACCAAGAATGATGTTTGAGGTGACCAAGTAGACTAGAATATGTCTCCTCTGGCGAATAAAATTCTCACCCGCTGAGCACTCATCATAAGCATACTGAAGTGCCTCTTGCGCTCGGTAGAAGTGGTTGTTCTGGAACAGATACCTGCCCAGGTAGTAGAGGTAAGTGACTCGCTCACTCTTGGGGTACAGCGAGAGCTGCGGAGATTGGTTTCCGATGTTCTCGAATATCATCGCGGCGTTGCGTGTCTTGCGGCACTGGAACAGAATCTTGAGACAGATGTTGGCAATTTTGTAGATGCCTTGCTTTTTGCCTTCGACTTTGTTGGCAGCTGTGGTCTTGTCGTTCATGCAGGCAGTGAAGGCGCGACGTAGGATCTCGGCAGCTCTCTCAGGAAGTGTCTCCCTGGCGCTGCCCTCATCGTCGCCACCAGATGCTGCTGCTCCCGCTGATCTCAGCTGGGCCATAAGCTCTGGTCGGCGATCGAGACCTATTGCCAGGCGGCAGACAACTTGTGCACACCTGACCACGACAGGGAGCATAAGAACGCCCAGTGTGCCGTGGCTCAGCGCGCTGTTTGCCCTTTCTTGCAAGCCAATGAGTAAGTCGTAGGTCTCCAGCAGTTTGCTGGTATCTTCGTTGACATCGCGAAGGTAGGACAAGTACTGTACCATGAACAGAATGAATGGCGTCCAAGTCGCACTGCCATCAACGCCCTCCCTAGCAGTGACCAGCATCTGTCTGCACTTCTCCTCAAGTGCGTCTTCTTTCTCCTGCGGGTAGTTTTGTTGTAGCTCCGCTATCAAGTCGTAGTAGAGCTTGCCAAAAGGAGGTTCTATCGCAATGTAGCTGGCAAGCTCTCGAGCGTTTTGCACCAGGATGAAGCCATTGATAGCTGTGAGAAATTGTCCGAGGACCGGCGTCCCTATTACGGAGAGCGCCATTCCTTTTGTGTTTGTTGTATGCTCAAGTGTCAATGGATCTCTAGGTTGACTTTGATCTTTGATGCGACTTGTCGAGCCGTTTTCTGTGGCTGGATCTTGCTCGCGGTCGGATGTTTCTTGGTTCTGAAAAAAGCCCAGATTGCAACGACCCAACGCGATTCTCGCCGCAAACCACTCCTGAACACACGGTAGAAAATCTAGTGTGACTTGCTGTTCTCTGTAGTCTCCAAAGCGATCGATCGCATCATCGCAGAATTCCCATATTTCTTCCAAGTCCAGACCGAGATTGAAATTTCTGGAGCACGTCTGCACGTAGTCATCAATCCAGTCCCAATTGAAGACACCAAGATCGAATGTATTTGGTTCTTGTGGCTCGAGGCGTGCTTGATGTTTTTGGCGTATGAAAGGGTCGAAAAGTGACGTGTTGTTCTTGTCGGCGTCGCGACTTGAGGTTGACTTCGGATTCGGATCAGGTGCTGCTGAGTCATTGTCACTTTCACAGCGCTCACGGGGTCCTCTACCTCTTTTCGTACGAGGCATGCTGTACTATGAGATCTTTCCTCGCAAGAGAGTAGGTAGACAGGACCTTGACCGTTATCGCAGAGATCAGTAGACCAGCATCAAACGCGGCACGGGATCCTGCATTCTTTGTTCGTTTGCAGAGACAATTCGCACGAGCTTCATTGTCAAGCACGCCTTTGACATACTGTACAACATTGGAAGATGGTCACGAGATGGACGTATACTTTCAAAAATCATTGCATTCCGTAACGAGGTAAATCTACACACGAGACCAAACCCGAACGTATCGGTAGAGGGCTTGCCTCGAAAATAAAGACCCCCAAGCAAGAGCAAGGAAGCAAATGCACCAGGCACCCGACTCCACTGTCCTCCACCACAGACCAGTGAGAAGACATTATGCACAAGCTAGCTAGAGTAAACGCCGCAGACATTTTGAAAATTCCGTGCCCATGTGCTAAGGAGAAAGCAAAGCCGAAACGTCACCAAGGTCGACTTGCCGAGGAGACTTGGTCATTCCCACCGTCCTCCGTTCCGCACTCTTGGGAGGCGCGACAGGGGGAAGCATCGGAAGCTTGGGTAGGGGAGAACGTGAAGGACTCCGATACGCTGTGTTGACACGCTTCATGCGGAACTCGGATTGAGTGCGACTGTAGTTTGATGAAGATACAGCACTGACTACACTGCCTGCACTGCCGGCACTTCCGTCGCTGTGGCGCTGGTTCGAATTGGTCGCGGGTGCAGGTGGTACGTCGATGATAGTGGGGACCTCTTGAAGTGGTGGGCGGTTTTTGGCTGGTGGAGAAGTGGAAGGGCCGAGGTGCCAACCTCGGATTGCAAGATAGTCATGTATAGCTGCACGCGTTTCGTCGTCAAGGCAAGGGAAAGGATCAGAGTAGCTTCGATCAGTGCGATACTGTCCGAAAGACACTACATCGCCTGGCCCGGAACTGGTTTCCGGGTCACGGCCGGGGTACCAGCGGCCGTAGTCGAGGTCTCGCTGCTCTGTTCCGATGGTGATGGTGATCGACTTGACTGGGTTGGAGTGAGAGGGCGCGGCACCATCGCACTGGGAGGTCCATTTGGGCCAGCGGGACGGGCACCTGGAGGTGGTCCACGTGGGCCAGCGCCCTGAGGCGGAGGACCCTGTGGTCGTGGCTTTACTGGCACCTTTGACAAGCATGTGCGTGGAGCGACACCTTGTTGGCTGCGGTCCATGCGGATGCAGAGAGCCTGGCATCGATTAGCAATGAAAGCGTGAAAGGATAAGAAGGGAGACTTACCCAGCCGTCGTCGTACTCATGAAGCATGCGCACAAGTTGTCCTGAGCGAAGCTCGAGCTCGTCGTCCATGCTCGGCTTGAAGTCAAGTTGGACACGGTGAACGTTGTTGGGCTGGCGAGGGCCTACAGGGCCATTGGCAGGGCCACCGACTGGAATAGCCGCAGCAGTGCCAAAGTGTGCGTTTCTTGGAGTTGCTGGTTCGCTACCTTCCCAGGACGACTGCGGGCCGTGCTTCGAGGCAGCGGCAGAGGCAGCCGCGGTAGCAGCAGTGGCCGGAGCTCCTGCAGCAGCGCCATTCGACCCATTGGACTTGTGCTCGGGTTCGTCGAAGGGGTTTGATGGTGGACTGTCTGGCTGGGCCTGCTTCTCAGAAAGAACGGTCGCGTCATCGAATGGATTTTGGCCAGATGCAGTGCGTTCCCCAGCAGATGTGTGCTTCTCTCCAGCACCTGTCACGTCGAGCGTGTTACCAGCGCTCTTACGGGTTTCGCCTAGATTCGGAAGGAACTGAGTGACTGGACGCAGGCTGAGGCGCGGAGCAGTAGAGGCTGTACGTGTAGATCGAAGGCTAGCAGCAACTTTCTCGGTCTGTGTAGAAGAGCGTCGTGCATCAGCAGCTGCGCCACCAGCGGCGGCCGCACTCGCACTCGCACTCATGCCACCAGCCTCAACGCCGCGAGCGCGAACGTCCGCAAAGCTACCGTGCTTCTCGTCCAGCATCTTGCCCTGCTTCCGTGCGGCCTTTTTGCGCCTCAAGCAGAAGAGTACAAGACCAACGACAAGACCAATTGCGAGAATGACACCGAAGGCAAGGCCAGCTTTTGCGCCACCGGTCATTCCGCTGTTACTCTCGTCGGGGGTCGGTGAAGCTGTCGCTGAAGCAGTGTGAGTCGCCTGGATGGGTGTGCCTCCCATCCTGGAGACCTGGGCAGTCTGAAATGTCGTTAGCGCGCTCGTCGGGATGACTGTCGCGGTCGAGGTCTCCATCATAGTCGTGTGTCCAGCCTGAGCTGAAGATTTGGCCGCATCGTAGGAAGCTTGATGGCTGTTGACCGAAGGAGAGGCGGTAGCAGTAGCGGCTGCCACAATGTCGGTTGGAGAGCCGGTCAAAGTCGAGTACATCGCTGGTCCAGGGAATGTCTGTGACAAAGTCACGTAAACGACCGAGAGCGCAGGTTGGGCATTGTCGCTGGTGGCTTCCTTCTGCGATGCGTCCCATCCCTCAGGGACGTGCATTTTGACATTGTCGCTGTTCAAGTATCGTTTGCGCAAGGCAAGTAGGTCGCGAGCTTCCTGGCCACGAAAGACGCGGCCGTGGGTGTGTCGCTTGTGGAGAACCATGTTTCCGTAGTTGTCGTCGCCGCCGCCCAAACCCAATATCCCTAATTGCCTGTCCGCTCCGGGACGACTATCGTCGAGAGTCGGTGGAGAGAGTGTGGCTGGTACCAGGTGTACAGAAATGATGTCTCGGTGTGTGTGCGGGTCGATTGGAATGCGGGTGAAGAGTGAGATGGCCGTGTAGACGTGCCCGTCGCCGCGCGTGGAATGTGATATAGCAAGCGCCGCTAAAGATGGTCGAGTATCAAGGAATGTGTGCGACTGACAGCCCGCCTTGAACGAAGGCTGACGGGCTGCGTGGTCGGTGTGGTGTAAAGAGTGTAGGTCGACGAATGTCGCGTGGCGACAGCGAGGTGATGGTGTGCGGGCGGGCGTGCGAGCGAGCGAGCGACGAGAGGAAACGCAAGGCAAGAGATCAGCTTGAGGGCGTTAAATGAAGGTTCCTGCTTGGGCCTAGCGTGTAGCAAGGATGCAGGAACGATGCAGAGTGACCCGTGCTTGGCCACGAAGTGAGCGATCCCATTCGTCGCTTCCTCTGAGCCGCCGTTGCTAGCTATTTCCAGAGTAACTATCGATGTCTTCTCTGCTCGCAGGGCTGGCAACGCGCAGAGCACGTTGCATCGCGTCGACGTTCACGCGTTGTCTGGCAGAGACGTCATGATCCCTCTAGAGGTAGCAAGAAGAGGGTGCCATGCTCACATCGGCGCCGCGCCCTGAGGCCCAGCAGGAGTGAGGATTCGTAACACGGCCAGGGGTCATCACGACAACAACCTGGAAGCGCCGGCGAGGGGGCGCTTTCCAGTGTGAATCCGTGGCTTCACACTGTTTCTATGGCGATGCTATGATTCTGCGCAGGTCCGCTTCTCTTGGGACATCGACGCCGTGCTCCTCCTCCTTCTTGCTCTCGGGTAGTAGCGTGTTACTGTCAGAAATCGCCTGCCATCGCGCGCGTACTGTGTCCTACAATCTTCTGGGGAACCACCAGCAGTTGCTACGAGTTCAGAGTCTGCGCTGTCCTGTCCACCTTGGAGCTGCTGGAGAGCGCGCACGACTACGGCGAAAGGGTGCAGATATGCAGGTCAAAATTCCGATACACTGGCGTCACTTATGCTCTGACTGAAACAGATCCTCTCCACAACAATGAATCGGTGACTGAAACAGATGCAACGCTTGCAGCCTCAGGCAGCTGAGGAGAGGAATTGATCAACACCTCCATGAGCTAGAACATAAGCTTGAGAACCGTCGGCGAACTGTCGCTCAATTCTACGCCATTCCGAGGAACATCACAGCAGAACTCCGACGCATAGGAGTCTCGTATTAAAAGACCAAAGAAGCTGTGAAGATGCATTCCATCACGCCACGTAGTCTTCCATCTCGCTGTACACGAACATGTTATCCTACACATTGATTGCGGGCCTGCTAGCTGCAGCCTCGTCACCCGCAGCAGCAGCAGCAGCAGCATCGTGTACTTCGCACACCATTCCAGTGAAGACCAGCGCAAACAATGGCGTTATACTGGCACCAAACTTCGATCTAACATCGGTCTCTGGAGTAGAGTCGTTCCTAGGATCCGGTGCCGGATTTCTCGGTCAATTTGCTGGACTCTTGCCTGTCAGTGGCACATACCAGATAGCGGCGAAATACTGCACTCCAGCTGTTGGCGCTCCAGCAAAGCGAGCCAAAGAAGTCCAGATTCTGTTACATGGTGTGCCATACAATTCCGTGAGTCGATGTATCCAACTACCATGATGCCGATACTGATTGATATCCCTAGAGCTACTGGTTTGGGCTGCCTGGTAACCCCGATGGCACAGCAAAATACGATTGGGTAGAGTGAGTAGTATTTTGTCGAAATGCAGTATTCATCTCTCATCGGGTCCACAGATATGCTACAAGGCAGGGCTATTCGGTCCTTGCGATCGATAACCTTGGCGCAGGAGACTCTCAAAAGGCCAATCCCGTCACTGAAGTCCAGCAGCCACTCCAGACAGCAATCCTTCACCAGATCACGACCATGCTTCGAGCAGGACAGCTCAGCTTTGCGCCGAAGCCAAACAAGGTCATTTTCGTGGGCCACTCTCTGTCAAGTGTCATTGGCAATGGCATTGCCACCCACTACCCCAAGGACTTCGACGCCATCATTCTCACTGGCTGGTCCTACACGCTGATTCAAGCCGGCCCGGGTCTGCTTCTGACACTCCTCGAGCCGGCCCAAGTGCACAACCCAGCAAAGTTTGGCAGCTTCCCACCAGGCTATCTCGCCTTCGGATCTCGACAGGGCAAGCGCGACTCTTACTATGCCGAACATGGCTCCTTCAGCGCTGGTCTCGAGCAGTGGGACTTCGACCACGAGGATACCATCACCATAGGTCAGATATACAGCGCCTTCTCTGGCCTCCAGAAAGCCGAACAATTCACTGGCGATGTTTTGGCCTTGACTGGACAGGAGGATGCATTCTTTTGCGGACCTACCGGCTCGCGTGCTCTAGGACCACAGAGCTGTGGTACTGGAGCTGACTCGATTCCGGCAAAGAGCAAGGTCTTTTTCCCGAACGCTAAGTTCCAAGACTACCTCGCGCCGAACACCAGCCACGCCACGACATTGCACTACAGTACACCGCAGAGCTTGAAAGCTGCCCATGATTTCCTCGCGAGCAGTGGCTATTAGGAAACTAGCGAGATGACTTTGAGGAACTCTGGCCGACTGAACTCCCGTAGCCACCCCATAAATATCAATCCAAAACCTCAGGGCACCTCTATGTCATGCAGAGCATCAATTTTTGAAGAGTCGAAGCAATGACCGTTCTGATGATGCCGCACAATGCGATTCACCCACTCCCAAAGCTTTGGCGGGCGCGCGAATCGTCACTGCCGGAGCTGATTCCTACTTCCACCGCTCAACCGGACAGTGTCGAAAACCGCATTAGGTCGTGCAATCCCAGAAAACATCACAATGATCCTCATTGCATAGTATCCTGGTCAAGGCACAGCTCTTCTGTTCGACGTTCGCGAATCCTGCCGGTGGCTTTGCCAAAGCTTCATGTACTCTTGACACGACTGCGGGGTGTCGATCCTTGGTTTGTACAACATGGGCGGGGGTTAGAGGGGTCACGACACAAGATGGAAGAAAGGAAGGAACTTGATCGCCGATGAACAGAATATATAAATGTTCTGATCACTTATATCCACCAAGGTGCTTGGAGCAAGTGATCCTTGTGAGAAGCCGAACATGTCTAACGAAATTCAGCCCCAGAAAGCTCCGTCCCTCAACCTGCCTAAAGGTAACACTACCTGCAAAGTCGCTATTATCAACACTACTTGCAACCTCACTGTCCCTCCACCTACTCTTGTAGAGCCTCCCATCAAAGGACATGACTGGCTCAATCTTCCAACCTTCGGGTTCTTGATTACTCACCCTTCTGGGGAACAAGTTCTTTTCGATCTGGGTAGTCGAACGGACTGGTGGAATCTGGTTCCTCATGTCACCGACGTTGTAGCAAACAGAGTCCCAGGAATGAATGTAGAGAAGGATGTAGTTGACATTCTACGAGACGGCGGAGTCGATCCGGGCAGACTGAAGGCTTTGATCCTGAGCCATTGGCACTTCGATCATTCGGGAGACTTGTCAAGACTTGCGCCGACTACGGATGTGATTGTTGGACCAGGTTTCAACGACAGATTCCAGCCGGGTTGGCCAGCAAATGAAGATTCTGTGTTCCATGAGGCAGACTTCAAGGATAGGAAGGTGATTGAGGTGAGTGCTGTCAGCTTTGATCCATCCTACACAATACCTAAATAATCGAATCTGCAGCCACCATTCAGCGATGACTTCAAAATCGGTCAATATCAAGCACATGATTACTTCGGAGATGGAAGTATCTACATCTTGAACGTGCCAGGCCATACCACAGGCCACATCTCAGCCCTAGTCCGAACAACACCCGAAACATTCATATTCATGGGCGGCGACGTCTGCCACTTCACAGGTCTGCATCCCCACCCAAGTACATCAGCTCGTCGATTAACACTGCAGCGTAGGCGTTATCCGCCCAACGAAATACATCCCCATGCCCTCGAATATCCCACCAGAAACCACCCTCGACTCCCGCTTTGGTTCCAATCGACCATGCCCATGCCTAACATTCACAAAATGTCACCCAGACCAATCCAGTTCGCGCACTACACCTTTCTACCAATGTTCCACAGGCGAACATTCCTGGTACGACGATCCGAAAACCGCAATGGTGTCCATCCGAGCCCTGTTCGAATTCGACGCAGATCCCAACGTGATTGTGATTATTGCTCACGATAATGCACCTTTGGTTGTACTAAAGGACAAGATGTTCCCGAATGGTGGGGATATTAATGATTGGAAGGAACAGGGGTACAAGGAGAAACTGCATTGGGGTTTTGTGAATGAGTTGCCTGCTGAAGGGGTCCCGCCGAGAGAGACCTTGACGGATGGGTTGTATAGGAGTGGCAAGAGGATTAAGGATTTGGCGTTCAATCCTGTTTGATGGGAAAGGTGGTTGATCGGGTGATCGAGATGAGATGTTGATGGGAAATTTTTGATCGTATGTAGACCTCTTCGAATTCTTGGATGTGGCTCTTGACCGCTCTGAATTGCCTTCCACAATTGAATATGCACTGCAATTCGGCATTGCATGAGGCCGGTCATCGTGAATGGACTCGTTACGGCCGCATTACGTTTTCAAATTTCCTGAGCGCTGTCAGCTTCCGAACGTTCTCTGTAAAAATGAGGTGGCCAAGCTCGAGTACTATGCCCCGGCTAGCTATCGCCTTGAAGCGCTGAATGCAATGGCAAATCTACGCTGCCGAAGTTGAGTTGCTTAACAACGGGTTCGCCTCAAACAAGATAACAGAAGCTCACATAACACATATATACGACTATTCTACGAAGCGCCCAAGTAGAGGCAGGAAGCAATACCGAGACAGCCGACTTTATTATTGCCTATTGTCTACACTAACATGAATTGAACGCCTCGAAGGTATACGGGCATGTCGTCGTTCCTAAATGCATAGGGGATTCTGTCGTGCTCTGCTGCGAGCACTGTAGTAGCTTCGCCCGCTAGATAAGGACTCGATTGGCTCGATTAGTTAGCCTAAGCCTTCGGGAATCGATAGGTAACAACGACGTTAAGCCTGATAGCAATAGCAGTCGCATAATCCTGGACTGTAGAGGATTAGCAAGTATACTAGGTCTATCATTTAGTATGAGGTCGTATACTTACGAAGCACCCGTCCCACGCATTTTTTCGCTAATAGAGCCTCCAACGACCTTGATTATACACTATAGGGAGAATATTAACATGCATTAGGTAGAACCATGATTCCGCTCGTTGCTTACTTGGGAAGGGCAACCATTTAGACAAGTCTCTGTATCGTCATCACTGCAGTTATTATAGACCGTTGTAGTAGTGTCGCTACAGTGGTAAGAGACTGCACAATAAGCGACTGTCGCTGCCGATACAAGTAGAAGTGGTAGAATGAAGCGCATCGTAATCCGACTGTTAAATAGCTGTATGGTTCAAGTGTTAGTATATCGAAGAGGAAGTAAGGAAATGAAGCGACATATATATATTAGAGTCGTTCAAGGATGGAGCTGAGCGGAGCCTATACATAGACCTGCAGTGAAGCAATAATTATAGGCCTATACCATGCGATGATGAAGCTTCAACAAGGCTTCTAATAGTAGTAATCGGACGGTTGGGACTAATACGAGGTGGACAGGCATAGCGGCGTTGGTGATATATTTGGAACCTCAAAGACTGAAATGCCGGCGCACGTGCTGCCAGGATTGGGGGGACGCGTGACGCGTGAGAACTGAGAACACGAAAGTCAATCGCGACGGCCCATGTATCTTACGTAAGATACCTTCTTGTTGGAGAGTAGAGACAGACAGACTTGGACCAAGCATCGCTTCCACGGACAACACGCAACCACAGCCTAGCCTGGGAGCAACAACTTCAAAGAAGATGCTGGTCGGCGTGTGCGGCGGCATCTGCGCTGGGAAGCAGGCAAGCAAGCCCCGCCAAGTGCGTGGTCGAAGGCTGGCAGCTGATGTCTTCCTCGCATTTAATATTCTAGGCCGTCCGCGACTACCTGGTCCAGAAACACCACTTCCAAATCCTCCATCTCGCGCGCACACCCGCCCCTCCCGACATCGAAACGTCTGCTCCACGCCGTGACGTGCCCCTTCCCGACACCACCCGCCATCCAGGGGCCACTTTCTCGAATGTCGACGACCTCCTGGCGCACGCCACCAGATATTGGCAGGCCGACTTCGTGACGACATGCCTCTACGATGAGAAGATCGCCGACACCTTGTGCACGCGGCCTTTCGTCGTGCTGGTGCACGTCGATGCGCCCATGTCAGTCCGCTGGCAGCGTTTCAACGACCGCTGTGCCAAGGCAGCACTGACGCCACCCTCTCTGCAACAGTTCGTCGTGCGCGACGACGACCATCAGTACTCGCCCATCACAGGACTGGCAACGCTTGCCTCTCGCGCACACATCAAGCTCCTCAACTCGACAACGTCCATTCCCAAGCTTTGGGCCAGTCTGGATGCCATCAACCTGACAGACCCAAGCAGGATCAGACCAGCATGGGATCACTACTTCATGACTCTAGCGTCGCTCGCTGCTCGACGAAGCAATTGCATGCGGCGTCAGGTGGGTTGCGTTCTGGTCCGCAACAGGCGTGTCATGGCTACTGGGTACAATGGAACGCCCAGAAATATCAGGAATTGCAACGACGGAGGCTGTCCTCGGTGTAAGTCACGGCATGGCATGTGAAACGGACTCTCCTTGCTGACACTCCCGCTCTCTCCGTAGGCAACGGCCACAATGCAGCTGCTATATCAGGTGGTGCCGATCTCAGCACGTGTCTCTGCATACATGCCGAAGAAAATGCTCTTCTCGAGGCTGGCCGCGAGCGAGTCGGCGATGGAGGAGTCCTCTACTGCAATACCTGTCCTTGCTTGACCTGCACAATCAAGATTGTCCAGGTTGGAATCACAGAGGTCGTGTTCAGCCAGAGCTACTACATGGACAAGGCTGCAGCGAAGATCTTCGAAGAGGCAGGAGTCAAACTTCGCCAATACTCACCTCCAAAAGAAGGACTAGTCGACCTCAATTCGCAATGGGACGAGCTTGTCAAGAACGACAAAGCGCCTCGTCTAACGGACCGTCAGCGTGGCAAGGAGGCCTGGACTCATGGCATCTTCACCACAGAGACCATTGCATCGCCAAGCAAAATCAACGGATATCACAACGACGAGATGGATTAGAAATCCACAATGGGTGAAGAAAAGCTCGTCGAAAGCGACGTTAAGGACATTTTCAAGAGACTTTCAGTTCCTCTTCTAAGCGAAAAATGGTCCTGTGGCAATGACTGCACCATCTGTGAAGACGCTTCAGAGGCCGCAAATTCGAAGTACGATGATTTTGCAATGGCCATTGCCGGTGAGAAGCGCAGATTGGCATACTTGGAACGCGAAAGTCTTCAAGACTATTTTGGCTACAGCTATCGCTGGTCCTCTGAGCCGCGCGACGGAGATGTGCAGTACTCTGCCGCTTCTGCAGATTGCTGTACTGCTAGCGAAGAGCTCCCCGACATGACTGCGTCGGCTACTATGTCGATCGGGTCAGTACAAGAAGAGTCCGAACTTCTGCAACTGGCCTCTCAACAAATGGCTGCATTCACTTGGGGACAAGCCCTACGCTGCACATGTGTGGGAGTCTCTCTGTAGAGTGCCCGCAGACTTGCCCATGGCAACGATCAAGTTCAATGGAACGGTCATGCCTGTCGAAGTCGCGCGCTTCGCCAATAGTCCTCGAGATGGACTGTGAAAGTGACTCTCCTCTGAAGGCAGACATGGACGGAACGAGCTCGCGACAAACCCCCGACGTGCCTCCGGTCGTCATCGTCGTTCCGAATAGCCCGACTCTATCGTCACCGCGGGCCAAATCCGACTTTTCTATTGCCAATGCAAATTTGGGGGAAGACCGTGATTCTGTGCTCGGGATCACCGTCGGTAAAGGGACTAAGGAAGACTGCCATCCGGTCTGGGAAAGCGAGAAGCCGCCGTCTGTCCCTCTCTTTGACGAACAGAAATTCAAACTCCCCATGCCTAAGCCATTACATGCTGTCGTTGCACCATGTCAGCTTGCGAATGGCAATGAGAACAGGCTGTCGGAGAAACCCGCTATTGACAATAATATAAACCCTCTCCTGAAGAGCACTTCTCGTGCCGAAAATATTTCGAAGGAAGAAGAGCATAGCCTGCTAACGAGGCTTAGCATTAGCGATAAAGTATCGTTTAAGCCCTATAGTGCTTATCCTAATCGAGCGGAGCGATAGAGCAGCGCTTACGCTTTAATATTATTATATTAGACTATAGTTTGTTTTACTATAGAAGGTCGCTATAGGTTGCTTATAGAAGAGATAGGTATAGGGATATAGTATAGTACTATTATTATATAGTGCTATTATTATATAGTACTATTATTATATAGTACTATTGTTATATAGTACTATTGTCGTATAGTACTATTATCGTATAGTACTATTATCGTATAGTACTATTATTATATAGTACTACTATTATATAGTACTATTTCTATATAGTACTATTATTACTACTATTATTATATAGTACTACTATCGTATAGTACTATTACTATATAGTACTACTATTATATAGTAGTCGTATCGTACGATAGGGATAGTAGTAGAGGTAAAATTATAGCCTAAGGCTAGGGGATACGTAGCTCAGATTCGATTTTAAACTAACTAGAGGGCTCGGCTAGTTTTACGGGCATACCTTTAAAATCTAGCCTCCCTATACTATAACTACCTACCTATAGCGTCTTAACGTATCGGAAGGCTATTTAGTATTCCGTAGCGCGATCTCTCGTACTATAGCTCCCTTACGTAAGAAGTACTTTACTATATAAAGTATATATAGCGAGGCTCTAACTACGGACTAAATACAACCCTAGCTACTATATTCCTAAATTAGACTACCGGAATTAGCCGATTAGTATTACGTATATTACTAAAGCCGACTAACTAGTAGCCTTTAAGACGACTATCTTTCTATAGATTTGCAATATATTATATAATACGTAGTACCTATATAATATATTATATAATACGTAGTACCTATAGGTAAATAGAAGGGAGAAGGAGGGGATTTAAACTACAAAGAAGGGGTTTTCAATTAATTAGGAGTAGGTCTCTACTAGACTAAAGTCGGGGCTCGAGTATAATTATAGAGAACGCGTCGTCGATATATAGGCAACTTTAGTAGTATTTACGCGTATAGAGTCCTATACTATATAGTTAGCTTCTCTCTCGTTCCCCTATAATACCCTACTCCTACTCTAATATATATTATACCTAGTATAGCTATAGAAGAGATTGCTTAGGTATTATCTATACTCGTAGCGCGAGACTACTTCGAGATTAACGCTATACTAACCTTCTAGAGGTATTTAGACCTCTAGCTAAATAGGAAGGTACTAGTACCTTTAAGAGGCTATTCTTGCTTAATTAACTAGATAGTAGCTAGCGAGAGCGTAACTTAATAGATATCCTTCGAGACTTAGCTTCTAAGATAGGTAGCTTACTAGCTAGAAGTCCTATACTAAGTATTATATCCTTGCCTACTTTCTAGCGCTAATCGATACCGCTAGGCCTTCGAATAGGCGCAATCTATATACTAACCTCTCGTCTAGCCCCCTATCCTATTCCTTCGACTTTTAATAATACTATAAGAAGGGTTATATTAGTAGGTAGATAGGGTAGTAGTAGGTACGAGTAGTATTCGATAGAGGTCTAGGAGGAGAAGGAGGAAGGCTAGCTAGTTAGCCTAACGCCAAGCGCTAAGCCCTGCCTAAGGCACTAAGACCCTAGCTTTACTTAGCCTAGTTACATGCTAATTACGTATAGCCTCTTTAGCCCTAATACACGCTTCCCTTCTAAAGGCCGCGCCCTCGTAGCCTGTCTATATTCTACGACCTCTATTACTACTAACCTAGTAGTCTAATAAGCTGCTTAGCCTACGCTAAATTGAATACTTAACTACCTAATTATATAACTATATCAAACCTTACCTTCCGATACAATATCTAACTCTAACTGCGCTATCCTTGTACATAATAAAGTAAAGGGACATAAAGCTATAAGAATTAAGGGCTATCGACCAATTATAATACGGGTACGTCTTCCCTACTATAATAGGTAGACGTACGAGGTATTATAGCCCTGCCTCTGCTCTAAGTAATGTCGTTCCGAGTTCTTTACGTCTACTCTAAAAGACCTAGAAATGTCCGCTTCCGAGAGTTATCCGTTCCGAGGGATTATTCTTATTATTACGAGGACTATTATTTACTATCGTAGTTTTACTAGCCCTAATTAGTTAGGTTTGGCAGCCTTTAAGTGTTAACTAATTATATCTTTTCAAAAACTTAGTTCTTCTAGTTTCTATAGGTAAAGGCTATTATAAGTATAATAGTTAAGGTTTGCTTCGCTTAAAGGGTCGGAAAGATCGAGGAGTAACCTATTGTCCGCAAGATCGACCCTAGCTAGCTTAGCTCTATAGTTTTTGCCCTTAGTTAGTCTATTAGTCGCTTAATCTTTTAGGTAGCTTAAAGTTTTAATCAAAGTTTTGATTAAAGGTACCTTAGGCTCGTAGTATAGGTAAGGTTGTATTCGTAGGCGTAGTAACAATAGTAAGTAATGTTAATAATAGCGGCGCTAGTCGTCTTAGCGCTAACTTTACCTTACTTTCGATTTCCTTCTTCGACTAATAATATACTCCGTAATACCGTTACTAACATAGCCGCGCCGGCCGTATTGCCCTTTAGTATAAGCGTAACGCCGTCGTTACTATTATTATTACTAATACTATTCGCCTACGCGCGCGCGCCGCCTCTACCGACCGCCTAGGCCTTAGGGCCCCGATAGGACGTAGAAACAAGAGGGGCGCTAAGAGGAGGGTCTTATAGGGTACGCTAGTAAAGAGGTAGATTCCTTAAAAGAGCAGGCGATTAGTTAACAGTTACGGCGCGTTTGTTAACGCTCGGTATGTATCTACTATAGTAGTATAGTCTTATTATCCTTTATTGCTAACAATTGCTTGCCTCTAATTAGTTAGCTAATAGTACCCCGGGGGTAGCATTAATCCTAGGCCCTAATAGTAACATTATAGCCTCTTAGCCTTCTTCTTGTCCTTTATACTAGTCTAATACTCGTCTAACAACTTAGTTATATCCTTAAAAGAGTCTTTAGCCTCCTACAAGTCCTATTTAGGTAAATAGCCTTGCTATCTTAGGAGGTACTCCTTCTTACCTTGTTTAGTCCGATGCTTTAGTATACGCTCTATAGACTACAGCTCTTTACTATCGGCTAAGACTTCTTCTAACTTAGTAGGCGCTTTATTACCTTCGCGCTAATAGTATAGTTTAAGAAGGGATATATAGAAGGTATTATAGATAGTATAATAGGGTAGAAGCTACAACTAATAGGCCTATGCGGAAGAGCCCTTAACTTCTCGAATACGGAATAGGCTAATGTATCTTAGTGCGAGCTTAGGCCTTGTTTTGCTATTAGGTAATAGGTATTTGCGGATACGGAGGTTCTTAGTGCTTAGCATAACTATGTCGCCTTGTTTAAAGGTTATTAGTATATAGCGCTTATTATAGTAGGTCTTTTAGTACTCTTAAGCCCTTATTAGCTTCTTAGCTATCTTAGCATAGATTTCTCGCATCTTCTAGACACGTTCTATCGCCGCTAGTGTCTCTAGTACTTAACGCGCTTCCCTTTCCTTACGCTCGGCCTCGAGCGATAGTAGCTCTTATAGCATAGTAGCGTTCTAGCCTATTATAGCTATGTATAGTGAAACCTTAGTAGATAAGTGCACGCTATTGTTATATACGAATTCTGTAGGCTATAGGAGATTAACCTAATCCTCGGAGTTCTTATTAATGTAGCTACGCAGGTACTGCTATAGGGTAGCATTCTGCCTCTCTATTTAACTGTTAGTTTGTAGATAGAAGGCTATTAATAGCCGATGCTTTAGTCTTAGCTATAAGCAAATCTCGCTCTAATAGTAAGATATTAGTATCGATCTACGATTAGACACTATCCCCTTAGGGGTTCCCTAATAGGTATAGAAGATGTTAGTCTATAGCGCTTCTGCTATATTAATAGTAGTCTAATCTTTACGTACCGGGATGTATCGAGCGCCTTTAGTAAATCGATCTACTATAATAAGGATAGCATTATATACATCCTTACTGCCCCTACACTTAGTAGAAGGAAGGCCTATAATAAAGTCTATTATTAGCTTAGCAAATGGCTTCTTTAGAATAGGGAGCGAAGACAACTCGCCGAACGGCAAGTGCTTCGGTGCTTTAACTCGCTAGTATACTGTATAGGTATTACGGTTTAGACAGTAGTACGGCCGATCCTGCTCCGGATACTGTCGATCCTACCGTAGATTAGGACGATTGATATATATAGTTTCCTAGGCTAGTAACTAACTAATAATCAATTATCTTTATATACTAGAATCGTGTCCGTCTCCGCTCTATAGAGCGTATCCTAACAACTTAGTAGCTTCGCTAAGATTACGACCTAATTAGCTTCTATACTAATCAACTCCTCTACTAGAACCGAGCTATTAGTCCTAATTACGACGAGAACCGAGACGATTAGCTAAGGATTCCCCCGATCCGGCGCCGACCGCGACGATTCGACTCGCTACGTTACGACCGATATTTACTCGATTTATACTATTCCGCACTAGTCGGCGGCTACCTACTATAGTGCCTCGCCGACACTAATACACTATATACCCGAATCGCCTAACCGCGGATTCGGTAGGCAGCCGCGCTTTAGCGGCCGGCAGCTATTTCCCCGTATCTCTAGGAAGGCACCTTTCGAGGAATAACGGAAGGATTAGCCCTAACTAGTTAATAAACTACCTTTTGCTACCAATCCGGACAGCCTCTATAACGATACTCTACTATATAACGCTTTACGTTAATCCTACGCTTCGTTTCGCTTCTAACCCGGATAGAAGTACAAATCTATTAAACTAGCGGTCCGACCGCTACTATAGTACCGTAATCTTAGATTACTAGATACTAAGTCTTATATCCTACGCATTTGTACCTTTATCGGCTACTACGTCCGGTATAGCGAGAATTTTGCAGTCTAACTTAGAGCAAAGTACGGCCGTATAGACCTGCTTGCCTCTTACGTCCTATAACACTATCCGCGACTAGGAAATCTACTACCGTCTTAGGCTAAGATCGACGAGCTATACCTATATACCCTCGACGGAATCGACTTCCCTAGCTAGTAGGTAGTCGATAAAGGTACCTTAATAC